ATTATTTCTACTATTCTCACGGGCTCCCCCACGCAAACACGAGGACCGGGCGGCGCCTTGTCGTCTACAGGCCTTGTGACAGTGTACGGTGGAGATAATCCGCGCGCACACTTCAGGTTTGTGGCATGGAAGAGCAGCAGAGCACCTTTTGTTGATTCGGGGAATGCGACGCTACCGCAGCGCCTGTGCCGGGTCCAGTATGACTTTCCGTCAGTCTCCGTGGCTCCAGGGCTCATTACTGCGTTCTGCGCGGATGGCCGCCCGCGGCGGTGAACGACGAAGAAGCGGCGGCTACGGAGAATTTAGCGGGAGACACCAAGCTGTATGGAAACGTTGAGACTTGGTCTGGACATCGGCTCACCAAGTACCGGAAGCACCGGGACCATTGTTCGCCTGTAATTAAAGTGCCTTGGGACAGCTCGCCACTCTCTCTCCCTGAGGCTTGAGTTTGTACATTGTTACTTGCTCGGCTTTGTTTGGTACAGGGTTTTCTACTGATGTGGGCCGCGGGATGCGACCGTCGAAGACGACACACTCCGACTGACAAGAAAATATGCGCGTCGAGAGTGGCGATTGGTTTGGTGCCCGGTAGGGCGGAGTCGGGTCCTACAAAAAGGGAGAGATACGATGCGAAGAGGGTCGGAGAGATATACGATGCGATGAGCTCGAGATGGTAGAGAGGCAAGGACGGTACGATGAGATATGAAAGTTAGGGATAGGAGGCGAGTGAATGGATCGTTACGTAAGAGGGCTAAGATGGAAATCACTGAGAGGCACGACGTAGGCGACGATGACGAAGACGATGAAGACGCTGACGAATTGGACAATGACCCCAGGAAGAAGCCCTGAGCCCCGACTCGAACAACCAGCTTCGAGGCCCCCGTCAACATGGACATTCTGTGAGACGAACTTCACCTCCCTTACTTAAACGAGCTTTGCGGGTAGGGATGCGGCATATTGAGACATTGCGCGGTTTTATTCATTGAAAACTTTATCATTTGTGTCGTCGTGTGTTTATTCTGTATTATTCTGTATTCTGTCACCATTACTTCGCTTATGTATCCTGTTTCGCGTGTCGCAAGTATTTGCTGATGTGTTACAATTTCGTGTAACAGAGATGTCGTTCACGGACGGTATCTGTGTACGCCATTTGCACTTGCTATTGAATTAAATGCGTCCATGATTAAGTAGAGATCGTGACGTCTCTTACTTCCTGGCCCCAGCACGAATCCCTGTATGTGGGAAGTGATTGAGACACGTAGCCAAGAGGGAACCGGATAAAAAGGGGTTGAGTGGTCTTCCCTCTCTTTGGACAATCGGTGGCGTAGCGGGGGACGTCTCAATACCCCACATGAAAGTGGTGCATACTTCATGAACAGCGTAATCGTAATCTCATGAGCAGTTTAGTATACCCGACACATGTAAATAACTTTTTGCGACAAGAAAGACATTGCATAGCTGCGTAAAGAAGAACACAGAAAGTTCTGCTCCCCCCCCCCAACCCCCTCAGGCTTGCGAAACGCCCTTTACAAGCTGGAGTGCTGACGAGCAGTGCGGCTCAATGTTCCGTATTCAACGCAAAGGCACAAGGTGCCAGAATAGAAAGTTGAGCGAGTTGGTGTATATTCATATTAAAAGAAAAGCGGCGCACAAAAAGACGGAGACAAAGAAGAGAACCACACACAGCGCTGCAGCGCTGTGTGTGGTTCTCTTCTTTGTCTCCGTCTTTTTGTGCGCCGCTTTTCTTTTAAGCACAAGGTGCCCGAGCGGTGGTGCACTGTTTTTACTAATACTACTAATACTAGCATATGTGGTTTCGTACTCTTTTAACGAACTTCCAGTAACACTTCAACAAATTTAAGCTTAAAAACTATATTAAAACATCACATTCGTTCAAACATGCTCACCGTGCAAATACTATATGTAGAAGGAGAACTGCTCCTATCAGAATTATTAGAGTGGTTTCACTGAGCGAGATATGTCACCAAGCTACTATCTGTCGACCTTGGCAACGTGTTTTGTGTACTTTTGCAGTTCTTAATGCATCTAGTGAGACCAGTTTTATGGTGGTGTTCATTATAAGCTCAATAAAACTATCAAGATGCATTTCTTATGTTGTGGATTTACACAAACGGAATTGAACTGCCCAGCCATCCCGGAGTGGGAATGGTTAAAGTTTTTTCATTCTGAGGAATTGAAAGGAATGGAACTGTGGCAAGTCCTAATTCCCCGGAATGGAATTGAAATGGAATGGAGGTTCCCATTCCGCAACACTTGTGCAGACAAAGTAATTGTTGAGCAGCTATGGCAAGTGCTTAAGGAATGCACTACTGGGCTCATTCAATTCCACGTCCCTAGCGTCTCAAGCATTAAACTAAGCAAAAGAAAGAATCCTTGGATTAATGGACATCTTGTACAACTTGCCAAAATAAATCCCGTGAAAACTTTGATAAAATAGAAGATTTGACAGCACTTTATCAAATTAAACTGAAAGAAGCCAGGAAAAAAGTATTTCAAGAGTTTGGCCACTGACTTTTCTAATAAAAAGAAGTTTTGGAAGTATATGAGACGATGTGGTAGTGAGAAGGTCAGCCCACCAAATCTATGTTACGGTGGCGAGATTGTAACTGAGGATAAAGCCACACTTTTCAACCACTTTTTCAAAGCGGTTTTCCACCTTCCTACACAAGTATTTGTCGCGAATAAAAAAGAACAATGTTTGCCCATGGGTGAGATAGAGATTTCATTAAATGGCATAATGAAGTTGTTACAGCGCATCGACGAAAGTAAAACGATTGGCCCAGATGGAATATCACCAAGTTTTAAGACACTGCTATGAGGCAGTAGCTCGCTACCTTTATGTTATCTACAAAATATCGCTCAATGAAGGCAAAAGCTTCCTGATGACTGGAAGGTCGCTAATATTGTGCCCGTTTTCAAAAGTGGTTCTATATCAGATGTATCAAATTACAGACCAATTTCTCGGACGCCCATTTGTTGTAAAGTACTTGAACATGTTCTTTTTTCTGCTTTAATGAATCATCTGACTTCAAATAATTATTTCAATCATAAACAACACAAATTTAGACAGGGTTTTTCATGTACAGCCAAATTAATTAAATGTTATCATGATATAGCATCAGCTTTAGATAATAGAGAACAGATTGATTGTTTACTATTGGACTTCAGAAAGGCCTTCAATACGGTATCACACTCGATTCTGATTTAAAAACTGCAGAACTTGAACATTGATCAAACCATTTGCCAATGGATTAGGGACTATTTAACTTCAAGAAAACAGAAAGTTGTTCTAGGTGGATCATGTTCATGTTTAGTTTCAATGACATCAAGTGTACCTCAGGGTTCTTTCTCTACTCCGCCACTTCTGTTCTTGAGTTTAATAATATTTTGCATACAATTAAGAGTCGTATTAGAATGTTTCCTGACAACTGTGTGTTGTGTACTGAACTGACCAATAAACGAATTCCACCCAGCTTCAGGATGACCTTAGTCACGTCGAGGTATGGTGTAAAAATAATGACATGGTACTAAGCACTAATAAATACATTCAAGTCAGTTTCACTAAAAGGGTCAATAGGTTGACAAATCAATACATCTTAAACAATGAAGTTATTAGAAAAGAAGACAAATACAAGTACTTGGGTGTCACATTTTCTGAGGACGGAGGATGGTCTGAACACAATAACAGTGTTTTCAACAGAGCTGCGAAAGCCCTAGGCTTTTTACAGAGAAATCTTAAACAAGTAACCAAGGAGGTTAAACAGGCCGCATATTATGCCAACGTCAGACCAATACTGGAATATGCCTCTCCTGTGTGGGATCCATTTCACAAAGTAAATATTTAGCAGGAAGATAGCAGGAAGATTTGTTATGGGAAAATATGACCGAACTGAAAGCTCGCAATGTATGAAAAGAGAACTTAATTGGCAATACTTGCAAGATCAAAGACGTAATCTAAGATTGAAACTATTTTATTCAATCTATAAAAAAACAACAGGCATTATTCCTTTAGAATATTTAAAATCTGCACATTATCAATCCCTTCATCATGACCACAAATTTAAAGTACGGCCATACAACCCTAAAACTGATCTGTTTAGGCACTCTTTTTTTGCACAAACCATTGTCAAATGAAATATATTACCAGCCGATTTAGTAGGCTGCAAGACTGTGGATTCATTCTATGAAGCACCAGGCCCCCCGCAATAATGCCTAAGAAGGCACTGCGGGTAATGTTCCGAGTAAAAAAAACTTCGTGATGCTTGCCTGTTTCACGTTCATGTTTGGTCTGAGAAAGGCGCTCTGCAGTTGCTCAACACATCGCGTGAGCCATTGGTTGCCACAGCTGCATTCGACCTTGTTGCAAAGCAAGCACAGCGAGCTACGTGTAGCTCTCGTCGTAGGCACTTCTCAAGGCTCTTCCTTGTCTGCGTGGTCATTTGAGTCGTTCATGGCCATCTCAACGATATCGGTGTCAAACAGCAGTCCCGTAATGGGGACGTTTGCCTCATAGAGCGCATAATCCTCAAAGACAATCTCGCCATCTTCAGTATCACTCGCACAGCCTTGCTTACTTCATAGCACAGCCACTGAATTTTGCACCAATATCTTCTTCAATGATTCCTCCGCCCGACAAAACCCTGCATGTGTGAAGCAGTTAGCGATCAGCTGTGGGCGTAGTTGGCGCCAGGCTTCAGCCATTAGATTAACTGCACCCAGCAGATCGACTTTATACTTTTTCCCTTTGTCATATGACAGCAGAATAGCAATGAAAGGCTTATGCCTTGTCTGCGTACTCCTTTTTTAGCTCAGCCAGGAGTAGGCTGCGCCAAGCGCTTGTAGCCTGTTCGTCGAAAATGGTGCTTTCACTATGCATAGACTTTGATGACACTATTCCGTTTCTTAAACTGCTCGAACCAGCCATTACTGAATCTGAAGTCCGCGTGACCTATCTTAACTGCCAAAGTGTCTGCTTTTTCCATCATCAAGTCAAGTCAAGTTTATTTCCAACAACATCAAGTCGGAGGTCCTTAGGCGAAAAGATGTCGGAGACATCTTGAGAGAGCCTAAGAACCCTTCAAGAGCAGCAGGCATTTTACAAAAATATCGCGTAATTCACTGTACATGCATAGGCAAAATAAAAGCTTAGTTGTTTTCCTTTTAGTGAACAAAATAAACACACAATTTCACATGGGTCACAAATCTTGTACGCACATGCGCAAAAACAACAATTTTTATACAAAGAAGAACACGTGATAAAAACATGATAACATAAGATATCTAGTGCTATTTGAGCAGTTTCTATATCTGTAGCAACATACTTCGCACATGTTTCTTGAATTTACGTTCAGGCAGTTCGAAGTCAATACCAGTTAAAATTTGTTCAATACTGTTTGTATCTGGTGGTGTAGAAGGCATTCTCCGTAACGTGTGCAAGAAAAGGGAACTGCTCTTAGTTGGTTTCGGAGAGTGTATCGGAGAGTTTCGGAGAGTGTATCGACATGAGCTGTCAACTGAATGCAGATGAAGTTTGTTTTTCTGAGTATAAAGTATTAGTTTATATGCGTAAAGGTCACGTGCTCTAATAAAATCATGATTTATAAAGAGCTGATGAGTACGTAGTTCGCAAGGGAAGCCCATAAAAATTTTTTAATATTCTAAGAACTTTTTTCTGTAACATCTCTAGTTTGTTGAGGTTCTGTGCAGACGTTTTTGCCCATACTAGGGCGCAATAAGATAACAGAGAATAGAAATGGGCGTAGTATATAGCCTTTTTAAGCCATAATGGTACAAGGTCTGATAGCTTATACATGCAAGCTACAGTTTTGCCTAATTCAGAGACCAGTTTTGACACATGCGTATTCCACGGCATGTTTTCCTCAAACCATACTCCTAGAAATTTTTGCGTTTTAACACATTCCAGCGTGGTGCCCTGAAAGGAGAACTTCAGATTAATGCATGGCTTATTAGGAGGCCTAAATATAACATATTTTGTTTTACCTGCGTTTAAGTCAAGCTTGTTTTCATGGAGCCACAGTTCCAGGTGTCTTAAATAATTAGATACAGTAACTTGAAGATCGGCCATTGTATCAGCACTGAAAAAGGCATTCGTGTCATCTGCGTACATGACTAGTTTTTCTGTGTAAGGAATATTACATATATCATCTATATAAAGTATAAATAACAAGGGTCCTAAGATAGAACCTTGTGGAACGCCTTGCTTAAGTTCTGTTGCTGCTGACGCTAAGCTACCGAGTTTAACATATTGTTTTCTATAAGATAAGTAATTCATAATTAGTTTAAGAGCAGCACCACGCAATCCATAGTCAAATAATTTTCCTTCTAGAATGTCGTGTTTTATGCTATCGAAAGCCTTCCTCAGGTCAAGGAACAGTCCAACTGTATATAGTCTTTTTTCAAAAATTGTTTAGTATCACCTCTTTTACGTTTAATAGGGCTAATTGAGTGGACTTTCCTTTCTGGAAACCATACTGAGCAGTGTTTATTATTTGATACTTTGAAAGAAAGTTCCTTAGTCTACAATTTATGGCACTCTCAAATACCTTCGATAGCACTGGTAAAACAGAAATTGGCCTATAATTTGAAATGTCATTCAAAGCACCGCCTTTGTGCACCGCCTTTGTGCGCAAGCTTGAGTTCAGACGGGAAAATACCAGAAACTAACATGCAATTAATAATATGAGCCAAGGGCTCCGATATAAGGTCCGCAACGTGCTTCAAGGGCGCTGCGCTTAATTCATCAGCGCCTGTTGCTACATTGTTTCGTAGTCTAATTATCGAGCTGTGAACCTCAGAAGGTGTTACTGGACTTATACTGATTGTGTTAGGCAAACTATTCGTTCATAGCCGTAATAGCTGCATCGTCGCTCATATCTTGGGAGAAGGCTTTTACATTAAATACGCATTTCACTTTCGGTAAATTGGCCCAGATTATTCACTTTGTTCCACAGTTTACGAGGATCATTATAAATCTTCGCAAAAAGGCATTCATGATAAATCTTCTTAGCTTTGCGTATGTCGGCATTTAGCTTATTGCGATAGGTTTTGAATTTTTTCAGCACCTCTAGGTCACGTGTTTGAACAAACATGATACATTTTGTTTTTCGTTTTGATTCTTTTGTGAAGATTAGTGTTGATCCATGGTTTAAGAATTTTATTTTTCTTTACTGTGTGCATCACCATGGGAAAACTGTTATCATAACATCATCTGGGTTGTCATAGAAAGATTGGCTGCTCAAACGTTTCCAAGTTTTTTTATGCACGGGAATTTGGAAGCTCGAATGCGCTTCGGCTTGCTTGAGAAGTGTGACGTGCCGTTGTGGCCGTTGGATATACTGGGTTCCAAAGCGGCCTAAGAAGGGCATCCACACTCTTTCAAGATCAGGAAGGGACTCCCAGACCCTTTTTTTTATTCCACGTTTCTCGACACCCGCAAGCTCGGCACCAATGTACTTTGTTTTCCTCGCGCAAAGGCGCAAGACACGCACCGAGCTTCGTGTGCAATTGCTCGTCACATGTCCGGGTTTGGAAACTAGTCGTCCTAACTTCATAGACAAAACACTAAGACAGACATAACTAAACTAACTTAAACAGTCCTATCTGTATCTATTTAGAAAAGTCAACAAAACATTGTCTATTCACTTTCAGGTACACAAAACTATATGCAAGCACCAACAACTATTTACACTGCACGGCACCCATGTACAGCTCATGGGCACCAGTTGTCCTCTTTCAAACACATGTCCTTGTGGTGCCTGTTAAAGTGCCGCTTCTGTTTTTCTTGAGCCAGTCAGATGTGCGTAGCTGCGAGCTCCCTGGCTTTTTGTAGTCGTTCACACCCTATCGTGAAATAGTTCGATTCTTCTATGAGCTCTTCAAGCTCTCCGCGACTGTATACAACATCTAATCGTAGCACCGAATCCCTACCGTAGACCAGGAAGAAGGGGGTTTGGCAAACCGTGTCTTGGTACCCCGTGTTGAAACAGAACACAATATAAGGGAGGACATCGGCCTATTTTTCTCCCCCAGCGGTAGTCATGGCAATCATCTGTTTGATTGTCTCATTGGCTCTTTCGCACAAGCCGTTTGCTACGGGGTGATATGCGGTAGTGGCAGCATGTCTGATGCCCCAATGTTTGAAGTATGCTTCAGTAGTGCACGCCATCATCTGAGTATTGCGGTCTGTGATAATTGTGGCAGGGCATCTGTGCTTTAAGATGATCCGTCGTTTGACAAACTTCTGCATGGTTGCGGCCTCTATGTTCTGGAATGGTTTTGCCTCCACAAAGTTTGTCAGGTAATCAATGGCTACAATGATATACTCGTAACCTCTTGAAGTTTTGAATGGCCCTATTATGCCCATCCCAACTGTGTGAAATGGGCTGTGGACTCTTATTGGTTGTAATAGACTGTAAGGCACCGATGTCGACACCTTCATCCTCTGACAAAGATCACAGTGACGCACGTACCATCCGACATCTGCATAGAGTTTCGGCCAGTAATACTTAGACCTAAGGGCATCGAATGTTCGCCTGATGCCCATGTGGCCACCGTATCGTCTTTCATGGATTTCACAGAGTGCCTCAGCTTGTCGTCGTGAAGGAAGGCAGAGGAGAAATTGGCTGCTGACTGGGCTTTGGTCTCTTTTCTACAACACGTCATTATGCGTGATAATTTTCTTTTGCACGCGTTTCTGTTGCTTTTTCGTGCCCAGCGCACCCCTAAGCATATCCAGGACTTTCGCGCAAAATGCATCCTGACCCTGCTCCCCACCCATGTTGTCACGGAATCGCAGTGATGGATACGATACTGCAAGAATTGGTTCAGCATAATCAACAATGGGGGGATTCCTGGAAAGACAATCTAGTGCGCTGTGCAGAATCCCTGATTTATAGATGACATCAAAGTCAAATTCTTGCAGAATCAGTAACCAACGAAGAAGGCGTTGGTTCCTTCCTTGTAGCACAAGACCCAGCACAGTGCATGGTGGCCTTCGACAACTTGAAATTTTCGGCCAATCAAGTATGGTCGTAGCTCTTCTGATGCCCATTTTACAGCAAGAGCTTCCAATTCTGTCGAAGAATAATTAAACTCTGCACCTTTGAGAGATCGACTCAAGTATAGCACTGGACAATATCATCGCTCTTCATCTTCTTGCAGCAATAGACCTCCCAAGCCGAGCCAAGATGCATCTGTGTGTACTTGGACACTAAATTCTGGTTTTTCAGAGAATAGCTTAAGGACAGGCGGCTGGCACAACGCACGCTTTAATGTCTCAAATGCCACTTGCTGATCTTCTTCCCAAGAAAAAGTAGCACTATTCTTTAAGAGTGATCGAAGAGGTGCTGCGATAGCGCTGTAATTCAGAATAAACTTCCTGAAGTAAGATGTGAGCTCGATGAATGATTGTAGTTCCTGTACATTTCGAGGAGGCCGGAAAGCCTGAACCACTACCAGTCTCGATGGGTCAGGAGATACACCGTCTTTTGTGACATGCCCAAGGTAATTGATGGCAGTACAAAAAAAAGAAACACTTCTGTGGCTTGAACTTCAAGGCTGCTATTTCGAACCTTGTAAATATGTTCTGAAGGTGCGAAGCGTGTTCTTCAAATGTCCGGCTCAAGACTACGCAATCATCCATATACAAAAGGGCATTGTCGTATTTAATACCATCAATGATCGTATCCACGGCTCGCTGACATGTGAATGGGGCACCTTTGAGGCCAAATGGCATCTGGAGGAATCGGTAAAGACCCCACGGCATGACGAAGGCAGTCTTCTGTATGTCGTTTGGATGCATGACGATCTGATAAAATCCGGACACCAAGTCCATAACAGAAAAGTACTTGCTTCCATTGAGTGCCTGCAGCGCATCTTCAATTCTTGGGAAAGGGTACGCAATGTCATCAGTGACGGCGTTGAGACGTCGATAATCAACGCACATGCGCGTTGTCCTGTCTTTCTTTGCTACAAGGACAAGGGGTGACGCCCAAGGACTCCGAGAAGGTCGCACTATATTGGCATCAATGAGGTCCTTAATGATACTTTTGACGAGATTACGCTGTGCTGGTGACAATCTGCGAGGACGTTGCGATATTGGCTTTGCATTTCCTGTTGGTATGCAATGTCACTCAACTGTGCAGAAGTCTACATCTGTACTTGAATGTGCAAAGCAAACCCAATGCTGCACCAACAAATCCTTCACGACCTGCAGCTCATTGGAAGATAACATTGTTCCAATGTTAAAGCTGACGTCTCCTATTGCGATTGTACGGTGCTGCGGATTGACGACCGTATGAGCTGGTGGCGCATCAAAGTCCACAGGAGAAGGAAGGCATGAAATTTGGAGGATCTGTTGGCAGTTCTCTCCAGAAAGTTCAATATCCTCAATTCTGCTTGCTTCTTCAATGAGGCCAATTGTAATCTGATAAGGAAGCAAGACGGCTTGAAAAGAGCAGTTCGCGATCAAAACTTTCGTTGTATTTTCCGATGCAGCTGTTACCATGGGCTCCACTACGACTGAATAGCGGTCGTACAAGAGCTTTGTCCCAATGATGACCATTAAATTATTTTCATCTTTCGACACGCAATGCCAGGCCACAGGAACTAACTTCCGCGATAAAGCTGGCAGTGGTTGCTCCCTAACTAGGTAGACCTTGGGCAGACTTTGGGGGACTGATACCGCGAAGCTCTCCGAGCCCCAGTCGATGATGGCTCTTTCATCCCGCAAGAAGTCATCGCCTAGCAGTATTCCTTCATGAGGTAACTGGGGAACAACAACAAAGTCATGCTTCAGTGTTTGGTCGTCCACTGTCACCACAGCACTGACTTGACCCAAGTTTTGTAGCTGATGGCCACTTGCTCCTACTAAACGTAGGGACGAAGGCCTTATGCTTAATTCGAGTTTGTCAACTATTGGTGCCGTAATTAAGTTTTTGGCAGCTCCAGAATCCAAGATGCCTTTAATCATTTGCCCGTTGATGACGACAGGAACAGAAAAAGTACCCGCTTCAGAGACACATGACACCTGCTCAATTACTGGGGACAGCCGCGGGCATCGGTGTCACCTGCTGTTCGTTTCCCTGCTGTTGTGTAAACTGGAAGATTCGAAATCTTCTTGCCACTTCGAAAATTCTGCAGTTAGCAGTAGACAACACTGCGTGAGAAAATGGCCACTTCTGGAGCAGTTTAAGCACAGTTTACGAACTCTCAAGACATATCTTCGTCACCTTTCAAAAACATGCATTGTGCAATGAGTCTATTGCCGCGACCGTGATGACTTCGCTTTCGTATCCCCTTTCACCTTTTTCTCAACTACTTCATCATTTCAGGAACTGCTAGACTCTATGCTGTCCGCGCGTTGACGATGGCTCATAGGCTTCCGAGGCAAACGCTTTGCCATAACACGGCATTCGGCGGATGGCATTGTGGATGGCATTCCGCGTTCTTCCGCAGCCCAAATTTGAATGCTTTCCTCCGAATCCCTGATCTGGTCAAAGCGCAGAAAAGAGCTGCTCATGTCGTCTAGCCGCTTTAATGTTTTATCAAAAAAGTGCTTCTTTGCCTTGGGTGACAGAGTAGCCATGATAACTTGGCACTTTTCCTGTTGTAGTACAAGATAGTTGCACTACTCCGTCAGGTCGAGTTTTTGGTATGCGAAGCCTGTACATACACGCCTGCGCGTTGCGTTGCGCCGAACATTCACTGCTTAGATGTTACATCTCAGTCCATGTTATGTCTGCAGAACGCTGCCTTCATGTCGGCCCAAGTACTGATACTAGCCACCTTCGCGTGGCGACGCATCCATGTAAAGTCTTTAGCTGGGAGCCTTGAAATACTGAATGGTATGGCGACCTCATCGGGACCGCAGAAGGTTCTAAACCAGTAGTCAACTTGGTGAAACCAGACGTTTAGATCTTTCCCGGGATGTGGTAAGGAACTCGCGGCGAAACTCTAAAGTCCGTCACGAGCGTCTTCATTGTTATACATGCACACGGGAGTATCGCTTCTGGCTTGTCTTTGTTGCTTTCTCGAGCCACGTTTGAGATTCAACGCACTGCTCTCTTCTGCACTCGTGCTTGATTCGGCGTCAGAATATTCATGCGTTTTTAACTCAAGACGCTCGATGCGCTCTACTAGTGGGGCAAGTAAGTTACACAAGAGGTCGTGACTTGCCACCTACGAGTCGAGAGGCAGTTTTGGTGCGTCGTCTTTGGCGGCGTCGTGGTCCTTGAGAATCATCAGTTTCAGTTCTTCCAATTCGCTCCGGAGCTGGCCCACCTCAGTCCTTAGGACATCGGCTTCAGACACAGCTGACCGGTAGGCTTCCACCCAGGCGGCATCATCCAGGTGCTCGAACACGTCGACAGAACACGGGGCCGTCGCCATCTTGGGATCACGGAGCCGACGCTGTCCAAACGTCAGTGATTGAGCCAAAGGAGCGCGTAGGGAGCAACGTCCCCACATCGAAGATGTAAACGTCTCCGTAGTTCACCTCGAGCCATTGGGCGCCAATTGTGACGTGCCGTTGTGGCCGTTGGATATACTGGATTCCGAGGCGGCCTAAGAAGGGCGCCCACACACTTTCAAGATTAGGAAGGGACTGCCAGACCCTTTTTTTTACTCCATGTTCTTCGAGCGCCCGGGAGCTCGGCGCCAATTTACGGTGTTTTTCGCGAGACACACACTGAACGTCGTCTGCTATCGCTCGTCGCAAGAAGCTTTGCTCAAAGCCTTCCGAAACCTTCTGGTTATTCTTCAGCAGTGTCGAGAAGATTGACAACGGTAAGCGGAATTCTTTGGCGATGCACAACTTGCTTCGACCTGCTTTTTCGACTTCCTTGATTAACATGACTTTTCTTTCTAACGTCAGAGATTCGCACTGCTTTAGATGGGGCATCTCGATCGATATTAGGAAGCGTCCGTAGCTCAGACCACTCACCACACAACAAAACGGAACTCGAGATACGTGACGCACACGTCGGGGGGAAAACAACGAATGCCAGCTCGCACAAGCAACGGTAGCTTGCGTACTGACAGCAATGATGGGCGCAGCTGCACATGCCGCTTCACTACGCATAAAACGCGCACAGGTGCACACACGTGATCACTCCCACAGTTGCTTGACAAGGCAGATAACAAACAGCTGCGTCTGAGGAAATTTAGAATTCGCCCTTCACAACCACGTTTGGCATGTATAGCAAGAGATAAGCGTTCGCACGGAGGCCTCGCTTCCTGTTGGGGGTGGACTTGACCTTCTGCCCACTTGATCAATATTTCGAGATATCCTCTGTCCCCCTCGAATATGTTTTGATATAAGAGGGGGCAAATACATAGCAGTTATGGGAGGTTAATGCATGGCAAAAAAGTTTTGACTTAACCGAGATTTCGAGATATGCTAGTTCGAGTTAACGAGGGTTTACTGTATCAGCTTGCATGAATACATGTCTATTCACACATACAGCCCACTAGCATTCATTGCCACATCAATCTTTATTGATGAAAGTTAGGGGGTTGAGTGCCATGACTTCTGTCTGTAAACTCTTTCCCGGTAAGGTCTTGATAAATATATCTCGTGTGATAGGCTTATTTCATTAAGATTGCCCTCACTAAATTTAAAACACCAACAACTCGCACTTGAAGGTACAAGATCAAAAGGTGTATTAAAAAGCACTGATTCTCTGAGAAACTGGTTTCAAAGAGCATTTAACGCAATATAATTTTATGCTAGTGGACTCATGAGTCAACTCACTTAGGCTCACTCAAATTCAGGTCAAGCTGCGAGTCTGAGTAACTCCACCTGAGCAATATGTTGGCGAGTTTAAGTCTGAGTGAGTCTGACTGAGAAACGTTTTGTGAGCCTGAGTTCGAGTGAGCCCTCAGAGAAAAATATATTTTTTGAGCGAGTCTGAATGAGCTCTATTTTTTATGCCGACCTATGATGGGGACACCCATAGCCTTAAGGAGAGCAACAAGCTTAAAAAGAGTGCTTTGAAAAACCTCAATAGGCGGTTGTCACTACACTGGTTCAAGCATTAGCTTAGTGCTCAAAAGCATACAAGCACTTGAAACTAGCTTACCGATACGTATGCCATGCACATTACTGGTGGTGAATGCTGTCTGGCATCCCACCTGGTTCAACGTCTCCAGGCAGTAGGCGTATACTCGGTCACCTTCTCCTGTGTGCAAACAGACAAGCGCTTCTACTTGCATCTTCACTTGGCATGATCAGCACTCAAAAGATTCCTTATATGTCACTGCTCAAGTTTGAAAAGGATATTCCTGACTAAATAGTTTAAATATATGAAAGTCAGTCACGGTGAAAAACAGAACATTTGTTCTGAGCTTCTGGACTGGGAACGGCCTAAATCCCTATGGCTAATTCCCACCTCTTCCTTTTTTTTTTTTAAATTGTTTCCATAATAACCTTGTTTATTAATTCTGACGGTGGTTGATAACTCTTCTATTTAGTTTACGCATTATGTGTACCATGTGCTTTTTTGCTTGACCACTGTGAAGCTGCCCAGTATACGAGGTGGCCAGGCTCCCATCTTTTTTTGCCTGTCATCCTCGCAACCTTGTAGTCAATAAGTCTCTTTTCTTTAATGATGAAGTAAGCCTTGGCAATGACAACTGGTTCTCAATACGCCTCAAGATTTTACTTATCACCAGCAGAGCCACGACACTCAAAGGACTTGTTTTTGGGCAAGTTGGTGCTTACTTGGTGCAGATGACTGAGGTGCAAAAAACATTTTGTGAAACAGAAAAAGCAGCAGAGAAGAAAGAACAGCGCCAACTACCAAATTTTTAATGACAGTCTCACACACGCACAGGAAAAGCCTGCGCGGAACGTGCAGCACAGTCACAGCGAACGCTAGAAGAGCGGCCTTTCCGAGCCTTTTCTAAACAATCGTTGAGATGCTATAAGCACACTCCTGGGTACCCACTGCGCCATAAATAATCATAAATTTTCTGTAGTAGGCCAGCATTCACTATGCCATCTTTCATCATTCTTTGAATAAGTGTGGTATTCACTACACACTTGTTAGGAATTTTGTGCAATTTTTTATGCAGTGGCTGACGACGATGAAGATTTATGCCTGAAATGGGTATGTGCCACCGTTGATAGGTGATCAAAACAAGTTTTCTAATGGGTTGGAGCATTAGACAACCCACTCATTACGCAATTCGCATTGTGTGATGCCTGGCTATTCCTTTCATGTTCTGAAACGCTTTATTACTCATATTAATGGGATTTATTTCAAGCCTGCTTAAGGCCAGTTTCGTAATAAGTTCCAAGCACTGGTGTGGCTCAGTGGTAGAATACTGGGCTGGCACCCAGCGGACTCAGGTTCGAATCCCATTGTGTCGTTAGTGTTTTTCATTTTATTACTAGGTTGTTTTTTTTTTTTCGTTCGATACTGGTTACGAACACAGGTGGTAGCGGAACACGTGACCCATGTCCTGATCTCATAACAGCTCTCGCTGTAAATTAAGACAATTTCGTGCATGCGCGCACAGCCAACAAACGTAGTACAGCGAGATGGTCAAGGCAATAAGCTACCGAAAAATTTAATTTCTGTGGAATACAACCTAACGGATGTATCACTGATACAATTGGGCCCTTTCTATTAGGGATGAATCTCCTTGGGGTCGAGCCATGTCCCCCTGTCCATCAACGTGAGTGACACGCTAGTACTGGAAGAGCCCAGTAGAGGACGGGGCGGTGCTAGTGCTCGCTCTTGGCGCGTGCTGCGGTTTGATAGGAGATTGCTAGGGGCGCGGCTTTCTTTCTCTCTTTTGACAGCGGCGGTCACAGAGCGCCCGGTCCAGAGTTTCGGGCTCGCAGAGCGGCTGCAGCATGGCAGCGCAGACAAGCGGATCCAGACTTTCGAGCTCGCAAAGCTGCAGCGAAACAGCAGCACCGGCAAGCCGACGAGAGCTCGCGAAGCTGCAGCGGCACGGAAACATCTGCAAGCTGATCCAGAGGCGACGAGGGCTCACGCAGCTGCAGTGAAACGGCAGCTGCGTGCTCTTATCGCGTGCTGTGGCTTGAAAGGAGACCGCTAGAGGCGCGGCTCTCTCTCTTTCGACAGCGGCAGTCATGGAGTGCGCATCGCGGCTGCACAGCAACGCAGTCCAGAGTTTCGAGCTCGCAGAGCGGCTGCAGCATGGCAGCGCAGACAAGCGGATCCAGACTTTCGAGCTCGCAAAGCTGCAGCGAAACAGCAGCGCCGGCAAGCCGACCCGGAGCTGAGAGCTCGCGAAGCTGCAGCGGCACGGAAACATCTGCAAGCTGATCCAGAGGCGACGAGGGCTCACGCAGCTGCAGTGAAACGGCAGCTGCGTGCTCTTATCGCGTGCTGTGGCTTGAAAGGAGAGCGCTAGAGGCGCGGCTCTCTCTCTTTCGACAGCAGCAGTCATGGAGTGCGCATCGCGGCTGCGCAGCAACGCAGTCCAGAGTTTCGGGCTCGCAGAGCGGCTGCAGCATGGCAGCGCAGACAAGCGGATCCAGACTTTCGAGCTCGCAAAGCTGCAGCGAAACAGCAGCGCCGGCAAGCCGACCCGGAGCTGAGAGCTCGCGAAGCTGCAGCGGCACGGAAACATCGGCAAGCTGATCCAGAGGCGACGAGGGCTCACGCAGCTGCAGTGAAACGGCAGCACCGGCAATGTACGGGGGAATTCACGGTTAATGGATACTTCGGAGCTTCGCCCACTTGTCATCATTTACTTTGTGAATATGCTGTGGTTTTTTTTTTATATAAAAAAGCTTCCAAGATCTCTCTAGCTCCTTGTTAGCTACTCCTATCAAGAATCACAGTTTCCTCAAAGCATGGCACACATCGGCAGGCTTTACAGTGCACAGGAAGATGCGCATGATCCCTTTTGTCAAAACTATTAGCATGCTCCCTCAATCTGTCATTGATGCAATGTCCCATTTGACAGATTCAGGACTTACCGCAGATTAGGGGTGTCTCACATATTGCCCTTTGTGCACAGCGCCTAAAAAGTTTATGGTGCTACTTCTGGCAGCCCCTTGGCTCATAGCATGTGATAAATGGGCACAATTGAGCCAGCTTGTTGGGAGCTAAAACCATAACAGGTAACCGCCACCTTGAGGTTACAGCTCACACGGTGCACATAAGGGACCACCCCCGGCTTAACCCGCTCCCTTTCCTTCTGGCGTGCATTTGCATTAGCAGCGCTGCCTCTCAGCTTCTGCAGTAAGGATTCCACCTTGGAACTAACAGACTGAGGCTAGCCGGCCTTAGAAAGTCTTTGAAGCTGAATCAAAAAGCTAGCCTGCATAACATGCTCACATGATCTGCGTAGTGTCAACTCCGAGCAAAGCAGAGCGATTCCACCCTTCAGTCTTTGAAAGCGCTGAGTCGTACAGTAAAAATTATTTCTTACTACGTGGAAGGTATACACAGCACACATCACCCGAAATCGTCAGGTTAAGACCCAAGAACTGCAAAGAGCTATCTTTTGGAAGTTCATCAGTGAATGTGAGCCCGTTAGCATTTGCTCGAAAAACATCTAAAGTCGGCTCAACCATCACAGGGCATAAAAAAGGGCATCTATTGTCAATAACAAGTAAAAAATCATCGACATATCTGAACACGTTAATGATTGATATGTGGGGTTTAACATCCCAAAACCACTATATGATTATGAGACGTCGTAGTGGAGGGCTCCGGAAATTTCGACCACCTGGGGTTCTTTAACGTGCACCCAAATCTGAGTACACGGGCCTACAACATTTCCGCCGCCTCCATTGGAAATGCAGCCGCCGCGGCCGGGATTTGATCCCGCGATTTGCGGGTCAGCAGCCGAGTACCTTAGCCACTAGACCACCGTGGCGGGGCATCTGAACACTTTTGAAACATTCGTATGAGATTATGTAAAAACACTTTGTAGTGACAATTAGACAATGCTACGAACTGGTGGTTGTTTTCTTTCCATTTTTTAACCCTTCCGCCACCTTGCGGGTTTCCGCAGATCTCATTTGCATTACTTGTTTCCTTGGGCTTTGAGTTGTCAATTAATTCGCCCTCGCGCTGTCAATTGCTAGCTTCCTGGTTAGGTAAATTTGCAGAGCAACCGCCCCGGATAGACGTTACCCTTAGGTTCGAACCCCACACCAGGACAAATTTTTCAGCAAACTAGAAGGCTTTTCTTTCAGAGAAATCCATACGGATTTTCTTGTGGTTTCGTGCTACAAACTGGTGGTTATCTTCTTTCCCTTTCTTATTTAGAATAGAATGGGCCCATAACTGTAAAACAAAAGAAAGCAGAGGCATCAAGCTTTCCGTAGGAAAATCTAAGTCTAGTCGGGGACGTCTTGTTGCGCCATGTTCAAATCAGCCAATGGCTTATAAATGGCCTTCAACAAGCAATTTTCGAGTTTCCTCTGTCATTTTTCGAGAAAAGAGAAAGCAATTTTCAGCTGACTTTCATAATTTATTGTGAGTTCCAGGCCACGTGCTGCACTATATTATTTTGCTCGCGTTTTCTTGAGAGCCTCTACTACCAATCGGCACCGTTTTCTGACCATCCTCAAAAAGTGTTGCAGGGCACCTTTAAAGACAAAGCTAGAGAGTCTCCCAATTTTTTTTCTTTTTAAACGAAACTATAAGTTGTAGAGACCTTAGTTTTAAAAATGAAATTCAATGCTAAAGATGAAAATTTTTTGTCTAGTCCAAAAGTATATCTTATAAATGTCCCTGCAAGTACCGTTCGAATCCATACAGCGCTACCATGATGTCCAATTTTTGTCTCCATTGGCTGGCTTTATTCGCACTGTCCGTGGCCGATAGGTGGCGCGCGATGTAAACAAACATGGCGGTTCGGAGTAGGATAGCGAACAAATATAAGAACATGCAAGCGTGCTGCAGAACTTGTTTTGATAAATTTAATGATGCCAGACCACTTTCACCGCACTGTCGAGTTCCACATGAAAATAGACTACAATTACACACAAAATCAAGGGGAAGTGAACCCAAATTCATAAAACAACCTTCAATATGATGTCAAAGATAAAGAAGCAGACTCCGCACAAGTTTTGAGCATTGAGTGCTTTTTCATTCTCCGCTGCACTGACCTGCTTGTGTCCGCAGATGTCGCGCTCGTCTCCCATGAATAAATGTTGCAACAATACACACCATCTGTGGCTGCCATGCCACACTACCAATTAATCAGCAGCTGCATCATTTCATGTAGTGTGACTGAGCTCCCACACTTGGTGTCTTGGAAGGTATTGTGAGCAGTTTACAAAGAGGAAAGGGGAGAAACGCACCATCTATGCTATACGCTTTGTCATTCGCGAAAAGAAATTGCTTCAAGCTGTAATATGGTGAAGGAATTTTGTTATCTCTCGAACGATTTCATCTGTATGAATACAATTCTAGGATTTATTTGACTTATCAATAGCATTATACTCGTGAAACAAATCATTCACTGGTGTCGGCGATTCTGTAAGAAAGCTTTAGCAGCCTTGTTAGAAAAGATACATGTTTACTGGCTGAAGGGTTGGGCAAGTGGCTGAAATTAGTAAGGATTCGGGAGATACTAACATATATAAGGTTATTACATAAGATTCGACCAAGATGATTTAGTAACTTCATACAGCTGATTGCTGCATGGTGCTTAGGAGAGGAATAGACTAAAACGTTTAAATATAGCGCGCGCCTGAGCTTTCGGTTGATGCGAGTCCAGTTCCTGCTTTCTTTTTCTGAAAAACCTGATCTGCTTCTTGGAATGCCATACAGTCAACCTTATAGAAATGGTTAAGACTTGCTAACAGATTCCCACACATCCAACCACTATGCATTTTACTTTGGCCTATTTCTCTAGAAAGCTGAAAATATCTTTGGGGAGAACCTGGTTTGCACACCGGGACGTGGCACTTGTATATTAAATATTGTCACTCGACTGAAAAAAAAAAAAAAGGCTCCCAGAAAGGTCTCTAGTAGAACTCGCTGTTGGGCGTGCATGTCTTCATTAAATAGTCAATGCCGCGCCGAATGAACCACCACACAGAGAAAGAGGAGGAGGAGGAATAAATGAGGAAGGACAGGGAGGTTAGCCACACAGAGAAAGAAACACACATAGCGTCTGTGGTGTCTATGTGCGCTTCTTTCTCTGTGGGGTTGTTCATTTGGCGCGACATGGACTATTTAAAAAGGTCTCTGCCTGCATGGCAGGTGTTGGCAGGGACTGCACTAACCATGTGAAAGCGCTGCGTCTTCTGCAGATCCTCGACAAAGCGTTTTGTGCGGCGCGATTTTTTACGGACAGTACAAATTTGCATGTCATTCCCTTGGCGCAGGCATTAGTGAAAACTGGTTGAGGCCACGTGGCGGAGCATTTTGTGGTGACTTTTGTGAAAGGGTACAAGGGAGGCCTGCGCTCCCTTGTGCACAGGATAAGGGAGCACGTGGCCTGCCCTCTCCTGCAGCTGCCTCCAGCACCATCGGCTCACAACGAAAAAATACATGGCCGCTTTTGGCCGCATCACCCTTTGCAAGAGCGCTGAGGCTGCATAGTCTAGTAGCATGTGTTCACCTGTGACGAGTCATTTTGTTTACCAGTATGGCGCCAAAACTGGCCGTGTGTTTATGAGTTGCCATTTGAAGGTGCTGTTGGCAGCCACCACGAAGTGCAGGCCTTGTGCTCTTATGTTCTTTTTCAGTAAACACGACAGTGTGATACATTAGCTTGTGCACAATGCGTACAGCCTAGCTCAGTGAAATACAAAGAGACGCGTACCATTAAGATAGAAAAATTAAGGACATATGCCACTGATATTCTGAGAATAAAGCTAGTTGCGAGTGACGCCGTTGCTGCTCTGTCCCTAATTTTATATCTTTGATGGTCTGCGTCTTTTCGTATTTCAGTAAGCATGTACCAACTAGCCCAACAGAAAGTTTCATTAGGCCTGGCTCAGCAAGTGTTAGGTCAGAATCTGGTCATCGAGAGAAATTGCAATGCTGACAACTATCAGGTCGCAGCAATGCTGTTTGCACGCAAAACGTCCAGCGCCAGGTCCACGTGTCGAAACGTCGGCTCGACACAACCCCTGTTTATACGAATTTTTCATCGCAAGCTTCCATCTTCTCCTCCCTACCGTTTTACGGATTGTCCATAGAAGGCGTACGACAAATCAAAGGAACTGTGTGGAAATATTTCGTTCCTACGTGGTCCGCTAGAACCAAACACCTCATACTTTTTTTTTCTCGCTGACAACCAAAAATCACTATGCTGTATTTGCATTCGCTGCGCTGTGCAAAATATTGCTCTCGCTTCGATTCTTTCAATCTCTGGCTTTTCGTCTCGTACGTACTAGCCTGCGTAGTATTACGAATGATTCAGCACGAAACTCGTTAACTTTACTGAGCGTAAGTAACAAGCAGGAAAATTTCTTAGTCTTCCTGAACGTGCTTCGCGCTTGTAGGTGTTAATCAAACAGCAGCTATGTTTGACAAAACATTGCTCGCTTATATCACACCACCCGCGATGCAGCGAATTATAAGAGCAGTGTAGAATCAAGCAAGCAATTTATCAGCATGCGTCTAAGTAAGGCAGACAGCATTTTTTTTTTTTTTTTCAATCTGCAACAGTTCAGTGTCATTACCCACCTACGAGTAAGACGTTGCCCCAGAATGTCGCCGCTATAACATGCGTCCTCGACAACAAACACTCCATGGCAAACACCCGTCAGAAAGTTCTCTCCGTAACAGGGATCTCTCGGTGGAGCCGTATTTCACGACAGGGCACAAACTACGCGATTACTGTTTTCAAAGCCGCGCAGCCCTATATATTCTAGAATACTCTAGCAGCACATATACCTTATACTAGACCAACGCCTCCTAGATTTCTTGTGCCTGCCGGATTATCGGCGGTCACTTGGGAGGCGGCGGTCGTCGGAATTACGGTGGTGGCGCTACTCAAGTAGGAGGTGTCTTCAAATAGGTTTTTACGTTTTTGGAGCTTATATGCAACAAAAATAACGCAAAAAAGTTTTTAAAGGGCGTAAACGTAATTATATTTAACCCTACGCAAGTGACGTTGTCATTCAGCAACCAACTTTTTTATTACAAAGCATCCTCTGAAGTTAGTAACAAACGCTAAAATTGCCAATTTTTAAGGCCAAGTACAAAGACCCTTACCCCTACGTAGGCAGCGCTGCCATAGATGACCGGCGTTTCGCATTCAATCGGCAGGCACGAAAAATCTAGAACTGTCATCACGGTGGATGGAAATGTTTTTTGAGCGCTCCCGATCGACTGCGCATATGTGATTTCGCATGTTTTGAGTTTGTCTTTATAATTATAAGGTAGCAGTTAAAATCTCTGTAGCACTTATATTTGTGACGCTATGATGTATTGGCGACGTGGCCTGGCTCATACACCATGTTTATTTCTGTTCTCACTTCTTCATCGGCTTCTACCAACAATCGCTTCATACGTCACACGATTCCCCCCCCCCCCCCGAAAGAAGACATGGATTACGAACAAGAAAAAGCAAACAAGGAGAGGTTAAAAAGTCACAAACGTCAAAATTCAGAATTGGTCCTATGCTCCAGGGTAGTTCCGTAAACTTTCAATGACTTCAGGGGAGAGTGCAGCAGTCCGGTTAACGCAGGAGTTCTGGTGGGCGAGGCTGGTGGTTGCGTCCTGGATAACACAAAAATGCTTTGGACGTGGAGATAGGGGTAATCACAGCTGGTATTCTTGTGACGAACGAATGAGGCTTGAACATCTTGCAGAATCGACAGTTCCGATATTGTAGGCATCGAATTCCTCGTCGTGGGTGACACACAGGCCATGCAGGCAGTTTGCGTGCGCGTTGATCGAGGTTGATTGGTCGCTGCCTGTGTTCCTGCCATGTACAAGGGGTGCTTTTGTGGCTTTTGGAAAACTTTCCATAGTGATGTCGCAGATGTTTTGATCGAAGGCCTATTTTTGATCTCTGGTGGAGAATGTATCCACGACGATGGGCCTTTTCGCTATGTTTTTTGAGCCTTAAGAGTGGTTTAGATGAAGTTTTCTTTCGTCGTTGACAATGTTGAAGCGTACGTTGAGGTTGTAGTTTCTTGCTTTCGTCGACTTGCTTGGGGTGTGACATTGATCGTGGTGTGCCAGGATTCTTAGCGATTCCTCTGCAGGCTTCTACGATCGACGCCAACCAATACAGCTGTTTTTGGTGCAAGACAATGTGGGGGGTTTCGCGCACTTGAATCTTCTGTATTCATAAACTGCTCATTGTTGGTGGTTGCCTGAAGAGCACTTGTGTCATCCGAAGTAGCACCTGGGTTTTTGTTTTCATCGTTGGCAGTGAGGTTGTATACTAGATTCACGTCACTTTGATCTTTTGATTGATTAATACCAGACACTTCTGCAAAAGAATTTTCTTCACAAGATGCTGATTGTGAATGCTTCTGTCTTTGTTGAGCTGCTGAGCTGAATACTTTGACCGAATAAGATTTCTGTGAACATTCGTTGTCTGGTTTGGTTTCGCGCGGATTTTCTAACTCATCATGCGTAAATGCGACGGTCTTATGAGGTGCTTCCTCGGGTTTATCAGTAATGTTGATGACAGGTGATACCAAGTTAGTTTGCAAGGTACGCATGCCGCACGAAGTATTAAATGCACCTGGGTCATAAATAGTGGATTCAAATCTTTTATGCAGCGAAGAGTTAAGCATTGGCGATAATTGCGCTGATGAGGAACCAGGTGGAAGGTTGTGAAAACGATCGCGTGGTCTTTACGTTAGCACGTGGCTAGCTTCACCTGACGGGAATTGTAAATCCATGATCCGTGGTCGAATGCGTGAAGGCTGTTTATGACTGCGATGACGGAGTTCGAATGCATTGAGAGTGCGCGTTTTAATCGAATCTTCTTTATAGTCTTGAAACCAGATGATCATTTCTTCTTTTATCTTTTGCCAAGACTCGTCGTTGTCGAATATGTGGGTGAGGTAAAATTTAAATGCCTCACCGGTGACGTAGTCGCTGAACTTCGTAAGCATATCCCGTTCCGACCATGATGCAGCGGTAGCGTGGAGCTCGAACAGGTTGAACCAGTCCTGTACAGGTCCATCGTCCGCTGCTCCGGTGTACTTGGGGATGGGAAGGTCAGTCGATGGTGCTGTCATGATGCTGGTCATGCTGTAGAGTTGGGATGCACTTGTGTGGTTCACATTCAGTCGCTGCGTCTGGCTGAGGTGTTAGATGATGATGGCCGGTCGATGAAGTGGCTACCAGGTCTTCATCCTGCCGACTCATGTGACGCTATGATGTATTGGCGACGTGGCCTGGCTCATACACCATGTTTATTTCTGTTCTCACTTCTTCTTCATCGGCTTCTACCAACAATCGCTTCGTACGTCACATATTATTGTACGGCTTTTTCGGGGGCCAATCACCAGGTATTTATTAGTTTTTTTTTTTTGTGTGTGTGTGTGTGTGTTTGATTTCTTTGTTGTTGTTTTTTGCCACCCGTGGAGGAGGTGCACGTACATTGAACACGCAATTTTTTGTAGTAGAGCTTAGACTTTCTTTTTTTTTTCGTAGTGCACGGCTCGAGTTTAGTAATTATCGAGTATAGGGACAATTGGTGTCAGAAAGACATGGTTAAAAAGACCAAGGTCGTTTGGAAAAAACAGGTTCCGCCGGTTCAATTGTCGCAAGGCCCAGCTTCAGCGAAGTAGCGGTGGGGCTCCGAGGGGACAAAGCAGCTGGCGTCACAGGTGCAAGTAACCCCCAGATGCAAGACGCTCTAGCTGAAAAGTCACAGCATGTGATAATCGCTGGGGGCTCGAATTTAAATCGATGCACAGAAGCCATCAAAGAGAGGGTAAGAGGTGGAGAGGGTTGCAGTAGGGGCATTCCCAGGACGCAAGTTGGAAGCAGTCATGAGGCAAGCGAGCGCAAAACTTAAAACTGCAGCTGATAGACGAAACCTCGTGATAATTTGGGCGGTTTAAACGATGTCTTAAATGAAGATACAGCAGGACTAGCAACCACACTGGCGAAAGGCGTCAATGACATGCGCACCACTTCTCCTCAGGTACAGGTAGTGATATGCACGATACTGGAGGTACCGGTGCGTGATAGCAACCTGCAAAGAGCGGTTGTCAACGCAAAGCAAGAGATATGGCGGGTGAGTCGAGAGAAAGGCTTTGAGGTGGTCGAAATAAACAGAGAGCAGCGTAGGTGGGGTGGTTTTCAACGAGACAGAATTCACTTCGATGGGCGGCTAGGTCATGAGGTGGGTTGGCAACTTGCAGGACGCGCAGTAGCTTTTGGGGGGGGGGGGGGGGGGGGGGGAGCGGGCCCTTTAGGGTGCAGGATAGCTAGTAACGAGAAAAACAACCAGGGAGACTCTTTGACAGGTGGTATGGACAGATACGATTCCAAAGTGGCACCAGTATCTAAGATAGGTAGAGTCCGGGCCAGAAATAGACGTAGTCACGAGCGCGGAGCCAATTAAGACATAGGGTATATTAACATGCAGGGTGGTAGGAACAGGCTGAAGTGGGAAGAGATAGAACAGCTAAGGGAGGAGAGGCCAATGGTATACGGTTCTGTAGAAATACATCTCAGGGACACAGAACAACCTCCTAACAATCCAGACTACGCGTGAGAATATTGTAATAGAACAGAAGGCAGCAGAAAGGAGGGTGGCATTGGGGAATTCATTCATATAACTACAGACTGGCAAAGGGTCAAGCAGGAGTGCAAGGAACATTTATGGCTAAAAGGGAAAGTGGCAGAGCAAATGACACTCCTTGGTTTCGTGTACTTGTGGACGAAAGCAAAGGCCAGAGAGGAAAACCTGGCAATGGTAGAGTGTATATGAAATGACATTCAGGAGTTATAGGAGGAGAGTGCGAGATAAATATACTAGGAGATATGAATGCACACATAGATCAGCCAAAATGATCATTGATATGTGTGAAAGGCTTGATTTGATCATTTGCAACAGTACCGAGAAGAGTCAAGAGCAAATAACATGGGAGGTAGGAAGGCTGCAGTCGACGATAGATTAAGCACTGATGTCACATAGGATGTATGATAAGCTCAGGGGTAGATGAAGGTGGCTCCAGGAGTCTGGGTAGTGTTCACAAACGTATCAAGCTAAGTTTTGGAATAGCAGTGAAAGTGGGAAGGAGACAAGATGAGCAACTACCGGAAAATTTTTATTCAGAAAGGCAAATTGAAATAGCCACTAAACAAATTGAGAAAGTAATCACTGAGGATAATAAAACAATGTCGACATACACGAATCTAATTAGACTGAGCTAGAGCTTGCTAAGGCACATGACAAGTCACCCAGGAAAAGAAGACACAAACCCAAAAGTTGGTGGGAAGAGGAAGTTAAGAGAGCCATAGCAAAACGTCGGGAAGCCTCTAGGAAACACAGACATGCTAAGCAGCAGGGTGAATCGACAGATGATGTTGAAAGAAAATGGGAAATCTTTCTAAGCTGTAGAAGGAATGCACCCCTTCTGATCAATGAAAATATTAGAAGAAAGGGTGCTCAGTGGCTGGCAGAAGTACATAAAAAGGACAGAAAGGCAGCTGCGATATTTCGGAACCATCTGAACTCCCTAGGAAATGAAACAAACCTAGGGCAGAGGTTTATAACTACAGCTCAAGGTGCTAGGCTAGAAGGGGAAGAAGCTATTGAATATATAAGAACAAGGGTGACAGAAAACTTTCAACAAAAAAGTGCCTTAGCACCACAATAGACAGGGATCGATCAAGTGGCACAATGACTCCATTTTCACAACAATAGTGGTAAATGGCTGCGAAAAGGGTTCCTAGTAGTACATCAACAGGCCCAGATGGCATTCCAATTA